GTGTGGGCCAAGCCCAGCACAGCTGTGCTGTTTTCAAAATGTGACAGCAGGTAAAGGGAGAGGATCCCCCACCTGCTGTTATGAGGGGTAAATGGGGGCGCTTAAAGCAGTAGTAAACTGCAGCTAAAAAAAAAAAATCCCCTTCGGTGTAATGTAATAATGTGTTAATACGCATCGCATACTAGCACAGTATGAAGGACTTGCCTTAAAACTAAGCACCCCAGTGACATAATGTCACTGCTGCAGAGGCTTCCTTTTTCACTTGGTGCTCCTCCCGGGTCAGCGAGCACCAGCCGTTTGACTGGCCGAGCTACGATGCCACTCCCACGCATACGCACGGGAGTCCCGAGACACGGAACACAGCTCTGAAAGAGCGGCACGAGTATTGCGCATGCATCGGCTCTCAAAAAGGCAGAATATCTCCTAAAGAGTTTACGTTTAGGAGATGTTCATTTTATTTATTTTATTTATTATAAGCTTACCTGTAGGTAAAAATATAAAGAGATTACTACCACTTCAACAGTAACATGTTACACCCTAAATACAATGGTATACCCTAAATACAGTGTTACACCTTAAATAACTTGGCGTTTTAATAATCACTTTTAAAAGAGTTTTTTTTTTTTTTTTTTTTTTTTTTTTTTTTTTAAATACTGAATACGCCATCCATACCTGCTTGAAAACTTTGAATACCTGACCTGAATGACTAAACCCTACAAAGTGCTTCCTCTGTATCACTTTTCAACAATTACTTGTCTATACAAGCCATGCTTTAGTATTGGGCAGCACATGGCTTAGTGGTTAGCACTTCCACCTGGCAGCACAAGGGTCATCGGTTCAAGTGCCAGCCACAGCACTACCTGCCTGGCGCTTGCATGTTCTCCCTGTGCCTGCGTGGGTTTCCTCCAGGTACTCCGGTTTTCTCCTGCACTCCAAAGACATGCTGGGAGGTTAATTGGATACTGTCTAAACTGTCCCTACTATGTGTGAATGTGAGTTAGGGACCTTAAGTTGTAAGCTCCTCGAGGGCAGGGACTGATGTGAATGTACAATGTATATGTGAAGCGCTGCGTAAATTGCTGGCGCTATAGAAGTACCTGTAATAAATATTAGCACATGCAAAAGCAGTGTTTAAGGCCTGGTGCACTGTAGATCATTATGTTCCAGGTTAGATAATGCGATTTTTCTCATTACTACAGGTTTCATCGGTTTTGACTGGGTGGCCAGTTGCGCTGTCCCTTGTTGCGTGCAGTTTTCAGGTCAGATAAGCAGGCTCTCTCGTTCCTTTTTGAATGTCCTCATGTCACCGGCACGCTGCATTACTCTGATATACACAGCAACAATTCCCCCGGAGCTGGCCTCTGATGTGTAGTCTGGCGTGGTGTGGACGAGTAGTGCTGTATGTGCTGGGGTGTCTGCAATGCAGTGTTCTGAGATCTATCACCAGGATTCTGAACAGCACCAATTTGATAGAAGGGCAGAGGCTGCCTACGTGAGCCTGGTCAGCAAGTGAGAGCTCTGGTTCTCTTTAACTCCCTAGTCACTATAGAATGCAGCATTTTCTCCTGACTCACCAGTTACTCAGCAGACTCTCTAGTGATTAACATGACTCCTTAATGATCTATGCATTTTTTGTGCAGCCTCAATATTATGGAAGGGCTAATCGGATTTTTGTCCTTGTGTGAACTTCAAAGCCTTTTTTCTTTTTTTTTTTTTGGCCTTCATGTTTACACAAATTTACAAAAACTGGATGACAGGATGTTGGTGCTGCTGGTCTTATTCCTAGGATCATTTATTTCTAAGACATAGAAAGGTAAAACAAACCTGGAGTCCCTCGGGGGAAATGTGTTCGCTTACTTCGTATTCAATTTTTATACATCTTCTCCTGTCACCTCGGTACAGATTATGGAGACATCAGATATACCATTGATGGCTTCCAGAATGAAATGAATGACAGAATCATTATATCTTTATGTCAGAACATTCCGGTTGAACTTGGTCGAACTGTATCATGAATTGTTGCACACCGAAATCCATTAAAATTCAGACTCGTTTTGGGCAGAGTAAGTCATAGCAAGATCCTAAAAAGTGTGATGTACTCAGGGCTGCTGTTGGAAACCAAGGGGCCCCCATGCAGCCAACCTGACTGCCCCACCCCCCCAAAAAAATTTCTATGCTTCAGTCATGAATGAACATAGTGAGTGATTGGTACCGATCACTCATTGTGTTCATTCAGGAAAGGAACAGGCTGGTAAATGTGACATATTTACGGGATCATTCCCCCCACTCTCCATCCTGAAGGATTCTATTGTGTGCTGACTGCTGATGGGAAGGAGAGGAGGGAAGCCAGCAGCATTGCGGGGGTGGTGGCACACAAGGGGGCTTGGGCAGCAGGGAGAATGTATGGTGAAAGTGATGGGTGCAGCGGGGTATGGGGCAGTTACTGGAACTAGTCCCCTATCCCTCTCTCCTAGATTGTAAGCTCGAAAGAGCAGGACCCTCAATCCCCTCATGTTTTGCATTGTATTGGTATTGTTCTGTCACATGTTCTGTCCCCCTTTGTAATGTACAGCGCTGAGCGAACTATCGGCACTTTATAAATACTGTATAATAATAATAATATGGCTCTCTGCAACAACTGAAAGCCAGCAGGAGGGAGAGGAGAAGAGTCCAGCTTTCAGCTGCTGCAGAGAGCGCCATACAGGGGATTTTTTCCAGTAATTACCCCCTCCGCCGTGCTGATCACCCACTCTGCCCCTATCAGTTTCACCCAGCTGTCTGGGCCCCCCTGCTGACCTGGGCCCTGTACAGGTTGACTGGTGGTTACCCCCTTATCCACGGCCCTGGATGTACTGCATGTAGACTGCCACTGACTTGGCAACTTTTTTTTTATTTGTCTGATATTACTTGTATCCTAAAGCGGTAGTAACCGCAGTAAAAAAAAAATAAAAAAAAATTTCCCCCTGCAAGTTAGTGTTGCTGAACCCATGAGCCTGCATTCACTATATCTGGTCTCCCACAGTACACAGAACATGGAAGTGCAATTATTGTAGCAAATATAAACTGCTAAATACCTTTTCTCATCAGCAGTACATAGCAGTCTTGTGGCGTATATCGGTGTCCGGCCAAGTGTTGGCTAGTCTTGTAGGAGGAGTTTTTCTCCTCTGACTGTCCTGTGAGACTGCATAACCCCTGACCCTCAATCTGGACAGTGTTGACAAGGCTCTCTGCCAATCAATATGCACCCCCGCAAAAAAAAAAAACCTCTCTAGCAATACACATTAAACAGAGCATGTACAGACTTGCCACTGCTGCTCTGTACTATAGCAGATGAATTGGGGACAGCAAAAGAAAGGGAGGAATCAGAGAAGACAGGATCAGACAGCCTTTTTGCAAACTGCAGAGGATTAACCCCATAGGTTCCATAGTAAGTATAACAAGTATGATTTACTGTGTATACAAACTGATTTTACTGTTGTGGGCTTAGTAACACTTTAATGTCATAATGTGCTAGTATGCATCACATACTATTTATTTTCCTATTACAGGTACTTGCATAGCGGTGTCAATTTATGTAGCATATTATGAAAGACTTGCCTTAAAACAAAGCCCTCTAGCGGCCCGCTATCACTGCTGACAGGGCTTCCATTTTCACCCAGTCTTCCTTCTGGGTTCGCAGGCTCTGGCCATTTGAATAGCCGAGCCTTGATGCCATCACTCATGTGCATGGGAGCCAGGATCGCGGTGCAGCGCTCTAAAGGAATGACAAGTGCATGTGACATTACTGGCTGCAGAAATAGTGAATATCTTCTGAACGGTGCAGGTTTAGGAGCTATGCCTTGTACCAGGCAAGCTTTATTATAGGCTTACCTGTGGGTCCAAGTCACCAAGCAGTGTTTACTACTACTTTAAACCCTTCTAAGCTCAGTACGGCTTCAGTGATGAATGCCAGCAATTTATCACCAGATGCAATGTTAGTTTTATTGTTTGGCAGTGCAACAATGCTCAATGCCATCTTAATAGCAGCACTGACCAGTAAGGCTCCATGCACACTAGGTGTTTTGATAACGCTGGTATGTGTAAAGTCACATTAAAAAGCGTTTAGTGGCATTTTGCTGTGTTTTCTGCGTTTGCAGTTTCTAGCATTTTTTAGCTTTTTTTTTTTTTTTTACCCCCAGTTTTTTTTGGTCAAAAAAAGTCCCTGCCAAAAAACATTGATTACAGTCTGTGTGCATGGACACACATAGGATGACATGCTGGGGGGTTTACTAGTTGTAGAAAAAAAAAAAAACGTCAAAAGCCAAAAACAGCCGCTGTAAAAACGTCCAGTGCAAATTTAGGTTGCAATAGTTATTCAAAATAGCACCTTATAAAGACTTATTTCACCTTAGACTTAGCACAAGTTAATCAGTTTGGATCAGCCGTTCTGGACCAAGGTTCCTTTTGTGGTTTTGCTAGGTGTTTCTTGAGCTAAGGGTGATTGACCTCCCATTTGATGGTGCCTTCATAGTTTGAAGTCCAATGCCTCTTGACAGAACCAGCAGCATGACACCAATTATATATTTAGCTGTCTACAAGGGTGGCATTTTGACCACCAATATAAGAGGGGCATTCTTCTCACTGATCCCTTTTAAACTTCTATTAGCAGGGGTTCCCTCAGGCCTAAAAATAAATTTGAAGGTTCCTCTAAAGTAAAAAGGTTAAGAGATGCTGGTCTGGGTTATGGATATATCTAATAAAGTGAAGCCTTTATTGTATTGGGAACAGAAAAAGATCTAGAAAAAGAAAGAATGCTCCTATATGACTCACAGATATATTGAAGCTTTCAAGTCATACAACACAGAATTGGAATGGGTCTTAAAACAGTGATGCTGGCAATTTCAGTATTTCTTCTTTAGTTTTTATATTGGCGCTCGTGTCCCTACTGGGAAGATTTGCTCCTCTTTGTCCTTGCGACTACTGGCACAAAGATAGAAATAGAGAGCAAATCTAAAAATTTTTAGTGGTCATCATATCCTATAAGAGGGAACCTGCTCCTATGTCAGATCTCTATGATGGGAATTTTGTACACTTTGGGGAAATTTCCACGCATTTTGCAACTGCATGACAGGAAATGAGCAGGGGCGGACTGACCATTTGGAAACTCGGGCACTGTCTGAGGGCCCGCGGTCAGTAGGGGGCCCCATGAGATGCCCCTGGTACCTTTTTTTCATTTATTTATTTTTTTTATTTCATAGGCTTTTTTTGAGTTTGGGCAAGGACACGGGCCCCATGATCCCCTATTGCCCGGGGGTCCCATGAGTTGTCAGTCCGCTCCTGGAAATGAGAGTTCTTTCCAGTGGGACCTGGACAGCAAAAGTAACTTGGGGGCTATCTAGTCTAAATCTAATTGTGGGGTTGTCTTTAAATATGCTTTAGCTGATCTTCTATTCTGGTGTGGACCTTTTATAATGCTTAGCTCTGTCCCAATTCTTTAGAAATATATTTCAGCCCGTCAATTTCATCTTATGTGTCTTATAATCTTGGTAGAAACCATTCTGCCTTATTCAACATGTCAATATTTAACTTCAGTAACCCATTCATTGAAATCCAACTGCTGGCCCATCTTCAGCAAAATACATTTTCATTGGTTGCACTGAAAGAGAAACTCTTATTGTTTTTTCATATATACAATATATGTGTAGTGCTGCATAAATTGACTGTGCTATATAAGTACCTGATAGATAGATAGATAGATAGATAGATACATACATACATACATACATACATACATACATACATACATACATACAGTTGTGTTCAAAATAATAGTGTGTTGAAAAAAGTGAATAAAGCTCAAAATCCTTCTAATAGCTTTTATTTCCATACACACAAATGCATTGGGAACACTACACATTCTATTCCAAATCAAAACGTAAAGAAAAAGATATCAAATTTGTGTTCCTCTACAAAAATTGAAGAAAAGTGAATATTAGAGTGTTCAAAAAAATAGCAGTGTTTGTATTCTTCTTTATAAACTCAAACATTCACTATATAAACTGAAAAATGTTTGAAGATTTTGCTTTCCTTTTGAATCACTTAATTAATATTTAGTTGTATAAGCACTGTTTCTGAGAACTACATTCCACAGTTCTTCTCTATTTCTTGGTTTTGCCTCAGAAACTGCATTTTTGATGTCGCCCCACAAGTTTTCTATTGGATTAAGATCCGGGGATTGGGCTGGCCACTCCATAACGTCAATCTTGTTGGTCTGGAACCAAGATGTTGCACGTTTACTGGTGTGTTTGGGGTCGTCGTCTTGTTGGAACACCCATTTCAAGGGCATTTCCTCTTCAGCATAAGGCAGCATAACCTCTTCAAGTATTCTGATGTATTCAAACTGATCCATGATCCCTGGTATGCGATAAATAGGCCCAACACTGTAGTATGAGAAACATCCCCATATCATGATGCTTGCGCAACCATGCTTCACTGTCTTCACAGTGTACTGTGGCTTGAATTCAGTGTTTGGGGGTCGTCTGACAAATTGTCTCCGGCCACTAGACCCAAAAAGAACAATCTTACTTTCATCAGTCCACAAAATGTTGCGCCATTTCTCTTTAGGCCAGTCAATGTGCTCTTTGGCATATTGTAACCTCTTCAGCACATGTCTTTTTTTCAACAGTGGGACTTTGCGGGGGCTTCTTGCAGATAGCTTGGCTTCACATAGGCATCTTCTAATTGTAACAGTACTCACAGGTAACTTTAGACCTTCTTTGATCTTCCTGGAGCTGACTGTTGGCTGAGTCCTTGCCATTTTGCCTATTCTATCCATTAGAATGGTAGTTTTTCGCTTTCTTCCACGTCTTTCAGGTTTTGGTTGCCATTTTAAAGCATTTGCGATCATTTTAGCTGAGCTGCCTATCATTTTCTACACTTTGTTTTCCCCTCTCCAATCAACTTTTTAATCAAGGAATGCTGTTCTTCTGAACAATGTCTGGAACGACCCATTTTCCTCAGAATTTCAGAGAGAAATGCACTGTAACCAGCATGTACAACATTTGCTGCCTTCCTTCCTTAAATAAGGGCAATAATTGCCACCTGTTTTTCAAAGAATGAATGACCTCACTAATAGAACTCCACACTGCTATTATTTTAAACATGCCCCTTTAAATTAGTGATTCAATTACACAGAATCAGCAGCATGCATGTCATGACTGTTGGGTCTGTTGGATTTCTATTACTCTACTACACCTGCTAGTAAATTATTTGCCGTGTAGAAATATCATTTCTACCAAAAACAGTGATTGATCAGGTTAGTGATGTCTGACTGCTATTATTTTGAACACAACTGTATATAAACCTTTAAAAAGCAGTGTCTTTTCTGCATGTGTGCCTGGGGCCATTATTCACTTTCTGATATCTCAGGATAACTTGTGGGACTCTTTTTTTCTATTTTCACACAAATGAAAATGTGTAAAGGAGGAGCGTATGAAACCTAGACATAATTCTTCTGTTTTAATGTGTTTTTAAAGAGTAATGGTAAGCCCCACCACTAAAAATTAACCCAAAGTAGTGAAGTCTTCTAGTCTTATTACTAAGCCCTGTATTTTACATGTTGCTGCTATAAGGGGAGTAATGTTGTTTGTGAATTTAGTGTCACTTGATGTTCCCATACATAGAATAATAATTGCTCCTGCTACCTCCCTCATTTCATTGACAAGACAATAGTTAAATGTCATATTACACACAGCCTTCCCTCGTTAAGAGACAAGTACAGTATCTACCTCCCCTACTTTTCTTTTCCACACCTGTTTCCTACTTAAAACCGCATTAAACCCAAAAGCAAACATTTAATATCATGCATTTTAGCAATTCTTACATGTGAGGGCTGCATTAGTTTTCTTTTTTTAGGCTTTTTTTTGCCATTTTCATGTGGTGATCCAGCCAGTAAGTCTGTTTATCAAAAGATCACTCTCTCTTCCAGATGTATCAGTTTACAGGGATGAGACAAACCATTTAACACAGAGGAGTGCATACAATAAGCAGCTTTTTATTCATTAAAAACCTTTTATCCTAAAAGAAAAAAAAAATATTTGCTCTGATTATAAAGTATTAACTGGAATTTGGCTTAAATTTGTTGGTGTATTTAAATCTTCTGGTAGATTTAACACTATTAACCCCCCCCCCCCCTCCCAGACTTACAATGCTGCTGTTCAAAGGTGTCCACTGTGCTCATTCATCTAGAGCAAGGGCGCTCTAATACAGGTGGTGTCTTACTGTCCAGATCACCTGGTGAGAATGGAGGGAGGGAAAAAAAAGCCTAAATAAGAAAGAAAACTAATGCAGCCACCACACCTAGTGATTGGTAAGCTGTAATATATTACATTTTGTGGTTTGCACCTCCAGTATCACAGTATTAAACCCCAAAGGTGGACCAGAGGGTAACAATTTTAAGCATTGATTGCAATTTGCATAATTGCACCTAAGGGTTTTAAGATTGTTAGGAAATGTGAAAGAGAATACACTTGCATGCAGGCCCCTGAAGGTAAATGCTCTACTGTATGGTGAGCAGTTTAATATATTTGAAAAAGCCACCAATCTGCCCTTATAGTGAACCTGTGTTTTGCCAGTGCAAATCAAAGCAACAGGTTCACTTTAATCTTGCCACGACAGCAGCCCATACTTGCCTTGCCCTCACTCCCCCATAGCTCTTTTCAGCTAGCAGAAGCCATCCTGGGTAAGATAGATGTTGCTTCGGTCATTGCTTACAGAGGGCTATGGACCTTCTACATATTTATTTATTACAGGTACTTATATAGTGCTGTCTATTACATATTTATTACACATTCATATCAGTCCCTGTCTTCAAGGAGCTTGCAATCTAAGGTCCCTAACTCATATTCATACTTGTACTAGGACCATTTTAGGCAGGAGCCAATTAACCTATCAGCATGTCATGCCGTGTGGGAAGAAACTGGAGTAACCAGAGGAAACCCACACAGGCCCAGGGAGAACATGCAAACTCCAGGCAGGTAGTGCAGTGGTTTAGATTCAGATCAACACCTCTAGTGCTGCTAGGCAGGAGTGCTAGCCGCTGTGCTGCCCCGTGACCATGCTGGTGCTTGACTATTGGTTCAGTTCTGTCATGTGAAGCGAGTCACATGCTTCTCTATACCTCTAGATCAGGGATTTTTAACCATGGTTCCATGGAACCCTAGGGTTCCTCCAGAGGTTGGTAGGGGTTTCTTGAGCAATGAGCACTTTTTGCCTCTCAAGTAAGTTCCCACTGGCACCACTAATCCTTTTAGCTATCTGTACGGTGGTGATTCTTCCCAATGTCCACAAGTGTAAGGAGAATTCTTCCCACTAACCATCACTCTAATGTATCATGAGCTGTAGATATAGTAATCTTTAATAGGGGTGCCTTGAGCCCCGAATGTTATTTCAAGGGTCACTCTGTATTGAAAAACTTGAGAGGGTCCTCTATATGCTCTTCTATACCTTGAAGGACTGGGCTTTTTTATGTAAAGGTGAGCATGTGCTGCTGGGAAGAGGGGCAGTAAAGAAAACCTATTACTTTGCTGTGCAAGGACAAAGCATAGGTTTGTGTTCAATACGGATGTGCTTAAGATTACCATAGCTTGAACAGTTTTTTTTTTTTTTTTTTTTTTTTTTTTTTTATGAACCATCATTTTTTTATTAGAACGGTTTTTCACATATTTACGAAGTCACATCTTGATATTATTGACCGTTGATAGGCTTGCAAAGAATAAGTGTTAGTAGAATCAAATAATAAGTGTTAGTAGAATATCATGTACCCATCTTTACTCTGATGTTAAAGTATAGATAGGATGCGCGCTCTCTGCAGGTCAAGAGAAAATGGTGAGGGAAATGAGGAGAAAATGAAAAAAGGCAAGAATAGCAAAAAACAACAAAGAGTGAGCCAAAAGAGAGACCACCCAAGGGGCAGGGGAAGAGAACAGAGGTAGAGGGGGAGAAATAGGCTACAAAATTTTCGATACACTCCTCCCAATATTGATCCTATTTAAATAAGTATTATTCTCAATTGGAAGTGAGGCATGGGCATATATTTTATCCCTGGAAGACCACACATGTGCTATGCTGATCAGTTTCTTATTGATAAAAAATGATTCCATGCATTAGCTTCTGTAAAGTATACAAATTGTTTCTTCCATGCTTGAGTGATGGTTTGTTTGGCTGCTGAAAGCAAGTACCTAGTTAGCTTGCATTGGGGTTTCATGAGAGAGAGAGAGAGGTTTGAAGTCGGGAAGCGTAAGCCAAGGGTCTTTAGGGAAAGG